TCTCGCTCATGTTTCCCTATCTGTTTGGTCCTGCTTATCCGCTTCCGATGTTTCTGATATGCGAACAGTTTCCGCCATCATACAATGGAGTCATCCCGTAGCCCTTCTCTGGATTCTATGTTTTAGCCATCCTCAGGCTCCCCCCTCTGCCTCATCCACGGTTCGTTCTACAGTGCCTTGTTTGCTCGCTGGCCAGCTCGTGTCGCCGGTCTTCCCCCCTCCACTGCGCCGGTGCCCAGAATGGATGGCTCGGCGGGTTCACGCGACGGCCATGCGAACGTTCCAGGGAGGAACATCACCCCGATTACCCCGATCTTCATCACCCCGACGGTCGTTTACTTCGCATATAAGTCACCACCCACCAAACCACCCCAACCCAACCCGAAGGCTCAAATTTACCCTCGATTTCCAGTGGGGGGGGGGGCGGGAAACGTCGAAAAAGACATGTGGAACCCTTACCCCCCCCAACCCGAAATTCGGGTCTTCGGGTTGGGTTGGGGTGGTCTGGTAGGTAGTCAATAAGGGGCCTTGCTGTGAGGCTGGTGGCCCTGCCCCCCAGACAGAGAAGGGGCCGAGAGCGTCCTGGAGGCCCTCCGGGAGCGTGCTGCGTTGAGAACCCGAGCGGCCCGCGGCGGCGTCAGAGGCCGGGGGGCCCACGCCGTCACGGCAGGAGCCCGCTTTCACACCCTCAACGGCACCGTAACGGGTACTTACTAACGGGTACTTTGAAATTTTGCCGAAAGTTGCCACTTTAGGGCCTTTTTCTTGCATTGCAGCTTTGCCCACATCGGGAAGGGTTGGGTTCGCTGGGTCACTGGCCAAAGTACCCGTTAGTGGAGTCCCCGTTTGAGGGGCGTTGAGAACCTGAGCGGCCCGCGGCGGCGTCAGAGGCCGGGGGGCCCACGCCGTCACGGCAGGAGCCCGCTGTCACCCCCCCCGTTCGCGCCCTTCGTTCCTCCAAGCCAGTGTCGGTGGCGTCGACAGGTCGACGGGGGGAGGGATGGTTCGGGGCTGCGAGGGTCGATGATTTCTGGCGTGTTTTCGCCCGTTCTCGGCGGTTTTTCCGAGCTCCTGGGCACTCTCCAGCCGCTGCGTCCTGCCGAGAGCGTTCCAGGGGCGCCCGGCTCGTCCCGAACGGCTTCTGGAGAGCCGAGTTATGACTCGAGGGCCAGATGGCAACGACGTGGGGTGCACTGGCCAATGGATCTGGGACCACCAGCACCTCCTCTTGGGGTCCTCTTTGGACGCTCTTGAGGCGCTCTTGAGCAGTCTTGTGGCCGTCGTGGCGGTCTCGTGGGCCCTCCTTGAGGCTCTGTTGGGCTATCTTGGGGCCTCCATGAGTCCATCTTGAGGCCACGGTACATCACACATTGTTGGTTTTGCATTCTTTGTTCACGAATGCTGGGGTCTTGGGGAAGTTCTGAAGGGGATCCAGAAGTTTTTGGACAAGTCGTGTGGTCCTCTTTGGGCCTCTTGCCGCCATGCCGGACGCCATTTTGAACCACCTTCTGCTGTTTGGAGCTATATTTGGGTCCGTGTTGGAGCATCGCGGGCTCATCTTGGATCCGTTTTGAGCTATCGTGGGCTCCCTGGCGGCTCACGAACCACTTTCACAAAACAATTCTCAAGGAGGGGAACGGGAGGATACCCACCTTGGAAGAAACGGAGACTTGGAAGAAGAGATACACATATCGTTCGATTGCTTACGCCAAAGGGCTGGTGGGACTCTGCCCGGTAGCTAATCGACAGTTTTGTTACTGGCGCATCCAACGTGATTAGGAATTTGCGTGGGCAGACATAATCCCTTCGATGTTGCGTTGTAGCGTTTGTCGTTGGCGGTGCTTCTCTGGTCGCTCCCCTGGACAACAATATCATTGCCACTATTTCCAGACTGCCTGTCGTTGTCGTCGTGTCATCGTCCACTGTGGCGCGCTTGATGTAAAGGCTGTAGAATGTAGGTTCTGCGTCGGCCCTCTGACCTAGTACTATGGGCGTCTGGTGTTTTGATGAGAAGTTTGAATTCTGTACACGTCCATGTTTGAGCATTGGCCAGTATCTGCGACATGCGCGCGTATCTGTGTTGTCATTGGGATTATGTAGTTTCAGTAGGGCGTCTCAGGCTTTTTCATCATCATAACCCCTTTAGTCTTTACGCCTCTCTTCCCTGGGCCCTGTGCTTGCTGATCCACCCTCTGCCCTCTCTTGTTGGACACCCCGCCGCAAGGTCGTGCTCAGCGCGGCGATCGTCACAACGGGCCGCGGGGTGGGGAGGCAAAGCGGGCGGCAGGGCAACGCATGTCGAGACGTTCGCAAAGACCGTGGTAGAGGGAGATGGGGAGGAGGGGGACAAGCAGTAGGAGGAAGTGGGGGGGAGGGACAAAGGAGGAGTAGAACGGGGGCGACAAGGTCGATGATGAGGGCCGCCGTGTTTTCGGGACGGGCGTTTTCGGGCAGCTAGCGCGGGCCGCCTCGGGAGGCAAGACGCTGCTTGCCCGGCAGTTCGTGGAGATGACCCGGCTGCGCATCGAAGGCTTGCGCTGGGTTTTGAGCAGGAGAAAGGAGAAAGAGGAGGGGAAGAGATCGCAGGCGAGAAAGGCGATGATGAGTTGCAAGGGGATGGGATTCCATGGGCCCATTGCAGCTACGAGTGCCAACAGTGTCACATGCGAAAGCTCGTCAGGTGCACCAGTGGTACAGTCTCTCGGGCTATCATGGCGATGCCACCCCGCTGTGCAGCCCTCGTTCGACTTAGAGCTCATTCATCAAGGGGGAGAGGGCGAGCGGAAGAGGCGGGTGTGCAAGCGAGGGAGGAGAGAGGGAAGGAGGAGGCAGCAAACAGTTAGGGCAGGGTGGGGGGGGGGCGGATGTCCGCATTCGATAGGGGACCGTCGAGGCGAGCGACGGAACATTGAGTCTCCTATTGGCAGCAGGCGCGGCTTGTCCCGACTGCTTCTTCCCCGCCTGCAGATTTTCATGAAGACGTATTTGTTCGTACACCTTACGCGATGCTTAAGAAAACTTATTTTTTCGGCCAGAGTCTCGATTATTCTTAACGTTTTAATGTAAATCCTAAGATATTAATAGAATTTTTGGGTTTTTATTCAAGTTCTGAGACTATGAATTTCTTAATCCATGATTTCTTAAGCATTTCGCAGGGTGTACGCTCCTCTTGTTCCGCTCAACCCATCTCCTGCTGCCATGCCATGCCATCATGCTGCCCTGGGTGGCCTCCTGGAAGATCACGGGTGCTGACGGGGGCGCGCGCTACGAGAGGCCTGATATCCGCCTTCCAGAAGCTCGTAGACACCGGCAAGGACCATACCTTCATCGAGACAGAGACCGTGCGGTGCCTCGCCGCAGTCAAACAAGACTTCGGGCGGGGGGAGGGGCGCCGCTGCGGCAGCGGCGGGGGAAGCTCATCAGTCTGTGGGGCACGGCTTTTGCGGTCGGGTGCGCGGCCCGAGCGCCACGTGAGAGGAGCGGCACATATTCTCCCAAGAGACCTCCCGGGAGTAACTACAGTGTGGTTCCCGCCCCCAAGCCGCCCTGGTAACGCCCGTCCCCCCTCCCAGACATGACAAAAGACAGACGGGCATCGACGTCAGGAACGCGCTGCTGGTCTGGGAGGGGGCTCGGTGCTCTTTCGGAGATGTTCTGATGGCCCCAGCAGACCCGACTCTGGGTGTCGCATAGCAGAACTTTCATTGTGCGTCAGGTTCTTGTTTTGGAGCCGGCCGACATCAAACGACCCGCACGATCGGAAAGCCGAGATCGTTCAGGGCTGAGCGATCCACGCGGTGCCGGCAACCGGCGCCAACGTCGCCCCGACACAAACCTGCCGTATTTCAGTCGCCGCTCAGGTATGTCTATCAGCCGATCGAGGCGATGCAGCTCGTCCTTGTCACAAACAAGTCGAGCAACATCCTCGAGGAGTGGACACGGACTTGCGGCGGCAGAGGAGGCGTGCTCGTGGCGCTGCCCCGCGCCCTCCGTATGGGGTGTGGGGCAGAGGGGTCAAACTTGCAATAACAGACACAGCATGGGGAGAGGGATGCGGAGGGGCACCCCTTTCGTCGAAGGGGATTGGCGTGGGGAAGGCGAGGGAGAGGGGCTCGGGGAGGTAGAGGCGGGCTGTGGGTGGGGAGAGGAAGAGGGAATGAGAAGGAGATGGCGAGGGCGACTGCGGGGGAGGGGTGATTGGAGGGGGAGCAGGACAGGGTAGGGAGGGATGAGAGGAGGGAGAAAGGCAGGATGGGGGAACAGCAGAAATAGAAGGAGTGGGACGAGAGGAGGAGAAAGAGGGGAAGGAAGATGAGGAACAGGAGGATACGGAGGAGGAGGAGCGGGATGTTGATGAGGAATTTCTGGGCCGAGGAGGTGCCCGGTCCGAATCCCATCTCACGGGCTCGAGAGAGGCAGCGGGTAGACGGGTGAGTAGCAGTCCACACAATATATAGCAGTTGTTTGCTGGCCATGTGAAAGAAGGCTTGGATTTTGGATGTGGGGGCAGATCCCTTCGGATGGCTTTCGTGTGGATCGTGTGGCAGAAAGCTATCGCGGTGAGACTCACAACAGTTTTGCCTTTGGAATAGTAGTGAATCGTCTGTCGGTAAATGCGCGTCGCGCAGTCAGAAGCACCGCGTGTTGGATTGAAAGCGCGCACGTTCTATGCGGGAGCCCACCGCGTTCCCACTGCCTCTATCGTGTGGATGCCGCGAAGCCGTTTTGAGAAGGATTCCCGTCGCCACTTGGCGCGCGCCTGGCGGGTCACTGCGGCACGGGGGCGCCGTGGCCCACTGGCCGATCAGCAGCGGTACGGATCTCTGAGCCTCGCTGGCCTGCCGATGTCTTGAGTACCGTTGTGATTACATCCCAGGCGGGGCCCAGAGAGTCGATCTTCGGGACTTCGGCAGGCGGCGGATCCGGATGCATTCGGGCCCTGGTGCTATCCACCGCCTGCCGAGGTCCCCGCAGATCGCTCCCCCGGGCAGTGATGGCAGATCGATCCCCCGCCTCGCACGACAGAGACGGCGCGCAGGCGATGTTGTGGCGGCGCTTTCCTTCGACGTGGAAGCCCCGGCCCTTCACCCGTGCGGCTCCCAGGGTCTTCGGATGCCTCCTGGTGGTCCCCAAGGGCTTCACGAGCTGCCCGGAGGCCTCGCATGCGGCCAGGAGCATCCCGAGCTCGAGCCTCGGACCTCGGCCCTCGAGTCTCAAAGCTCGGCGGCGATCCCGTCTGCAGAGATGCGGCGCGCCGGCCCAGCCGTTTTTGAATACATATCTTTGCTGTTTCACAACGTGTTCCTCTGTATCTCCATGGTCAGAGCAGGCCGTGGATGGCCTGGCCTGCCCCGTCCTCAGCCCGCCGAGGAGGAGGGGGGAAGGGGGGAAGAGAGAGAGGACGAGGAGGGCGGACGGAACAGGAGGGGTGGAAGAGGGGTCCCGAGGAGGTTCCTGACCGTGTTAGCTTTGGGCTCATGTCAGGCCTTGGGACAATCATGCATCGAAGAGTTGGCCAGGATTTCGGCGCCCGGAGGAGGAGGCGGAGTGGGGCTGGAGGCTCCAGGATCGACAGGTTTTTGGACGTTGTTGGCGTTCTTTGGACTCAGGGGTGGCCAGCCCAGGCTCGCATTGGTCCTGGCTGATTTTGCAGTGGCCCTCGGGCAGGACATTGAGACGCTGCGGCTGATGGCCAAGGCCCCGCCTGCGGAAGGGACAAGCTGCAATCGCAAGGGAAGAGCGGGATGAGATGTGGATAGATCGGGGATGGGAAGGAGGAGGCGGCGGAGGAGGAGGAGGAAGGAGCAGAAAACAAGAGGAGGCATGGGAGGGGGAGGGGGTGAGAGGCTGATGAGGAGGGAAGGTGGACGATGGAGAGGATGCACGGAGAGGCGGAGCAGGGACATGGGAGGAGAAGAGCGAGGAGGGGGATCTGGAGGACGAGGTGGGAGGAGGAGGAGGAGGAGGAGGAGGAGGAGGAGGTAGGAGATCAGGGAGGAGATGAGGAAGAGGACGCACGGAGCCGCGGTGGAGTGACATGGGCGAAGAATGAGGACCAGAGCAGGTTCAAGATGCACCAGCGATGCTGCAATACAACCTCCCGCCCCGAGCTGCCTCCTCATCAGTCCGTGCAAGCATTATTTGTTTTCACTAGCCTACACTAGCGTACATGACTTGTGCGGCATTCGCCACTCGTCTAGGGATCATTTCGCTCTGGGTCACGTTTCCCGGGCCCACCGTCATTAACCAGTGGTTGCACATAGTTCGTTGCCGTGGGAAGAACAATTATTCTTCACTACGCCAAGCGCCCTCCTTCTTTACATATGATCGCGAAGTCCCAAGCGAGAGCCCAATGTTTCAAAGAAGCCGCTATCCATCCGTGTAGCCGCTGCACTCCTCATGTGCATGTCTTTCCGCTGCTGCATTGGGATTTTAGGCGATAACCACATGTTCAGAAGGAATCGCGCTCGATCCTGATCACTGCGTTTCTTCCCCACATCTTCCTCTTTTTCAGGTTTCGTTTTGAATAGAGCATTTCTCGCGTGTCTCCCTTTGATTCACCTCTTCTTGCCTCCCTCCTCTTTCCGTTTACCTCTCATCATCTCTCCACATTCCTCTCCTTTCGCGTGGTTGTCCCTTCCTCTTGGGTAAATGGGTTCATTCTCTGTGCGTTATTGTGTATGATGTTGAACTCCCGTGTTTGTTGTTCTATGGCCGTTTTGTATCAAGGGCACCCTCTTTGCCCTAGGTTGTCGTGTCGTGTGTGGGAAAGATCCCAGTGCCACCATATAATCGGCCATCGCTTGATGTATTTTCGCGCGTCAGTGGCAGCAGGAGCGTGACACTCTCGGCGGAGTGAGCGGCGTTCCGCGACACGATGTCGAGCCAACCGAAGGATGGCAGCAGCGACGGGCGTTACATACAGACAGCGTCGGGCGAGAAGGCCACGCCAGAGGACACATTGTAATCAGGTGTCTGTACGAGACAGCAGAGAACAGAGATTGAGCATATGATGAAGAGACAACTGGAGCAGACAGAACGGTTGCTCCAGAAGTTCTTAGACAGGGACAAAGGGAGCGAGGTACGAGAGGGTGCAAACCAGACAGCTCGCGACGAGAGCGACCCTTGGGAGAAGCAAGATCCATGGGAAGGCGCTCGCCGGTCAGGGAGCAAAGGCTACGACGAAAAACATATGTGGAGTCAGGCAGAATGGGACGAATGTAGTGGTAGCTACAAGCAGGAGTCCCACGTCGAAAGGAGCTTCGGTGACTGGAAGCAGGTTGAGTGTTACGACAGAGGCTGGAACTCCATCAGCAACAAATGGGAAAAGGTAGATTCCCCAGATCCTGAGGAGTTTACGGGCTGGCAAGACAGTCGACAGTGGAGACGGCGAGTGAGTACATGGCTGAGCCAGACGGACGTTCCCCCGAAAAAACACAGACAATATCCTGAATACCCTGGGCAGAGACATGCAGCGCAGCTTCGAGTTCATACCGGACGAGACGCTGCAGTCAGAGGACGTAGCCATGGTCCTCATCCGCCGCTTGGACATCTGGAGTGGACACGTGATAGATGACGAGAAGCGCCGCGCCGGGCGAGAAAGTCTAATGGGCTATCGCAGCAAGGCTGAAGAGAGTCTTTGGGTACACGCCGCCAGGATGGTCCAGAACTTCGAGACGCTAAACACACAAAGCGTGGACATAGACGATAACTGGAATATTCTCCTTCTAGAAAAAGGCATCGGCCTGGACGAGCACGGCCTGCAGATGCTCAAGGTCATGGGTCGGGCCCCAAGCAGTTCGAAGAGGGGATCAACGCGGCTCGAGAGATGGACGTCTCGCGCACGGAGCACCTCGGCTCCGTGACGGACAGGTCGACGGTTCACACCTTCGCGACGCACGGGGAAGATGATGAGTGGTATGAGCACAGCGAGGTCTCATCCATGGTTTCGGAGCAAAAGATCTCATTGTTGGCATCGGTCCTCGAGGCAGACGTGGGCGAGCATGAATTGCAGGAGGTGTCGGCGACGCTGAACGAGGAGCGCAAGAAGACCTGGGAGAAGAACCGAGATTACAAGAGGCAGCTGGAATGTGACCAGACATTCTACCAGTCGCCGGGGACATCAGGCTGTCGGCCGCCGCCGCCGCCCCCCCCCCCGGAAGGAGAGATGGGTGTCATCGCGAGGGGCGTGCTTCGAGGAAGCAAGAAACGCCTACCATTAGCAAAGCTGATGAAGGTCACGAAATGCCAGAAGTGGCACACTAAAGGGCATTGGAGTCAAGAGTGCCCAGGGCGAGGAGACCTGGCACAAGCTATAGCATATAGCACCAGCGGGAGGACGAGAACCAGTGCTTGGTTTCGTTCTCTGGAGCGCGTGGTGGCCGACCATGATGGCCGACGTCTCGAGGGAGGGCCGCGCGCGCAGCGCGCGCGAGATGGTCCGCCGGGTGGTGGGGCACGTTTGAGAGGGCAGGACGGGGGCGCCGACTTTCCTGGCCACGGGTTTCGGGGGCACCGCGGTGGACGCTGCGGCGGGGCAGACTTTGAGAGGGCCAGCAGCTCTCGACCGACTGGAGCAGCGCCTCGCAGAGATGGGCTTAGAGTTCTCCGCGCGAAAAGCAAGCATGACTTTGCCCGAGGCGTCGGAGGGCGCGCCAAGGCCGCGCCCGGCTTTCTGGCGCCCGCAGGCATCGCGGGGAAGGTCGGCATTGCGGAGCTGGAGCTGATAGACCAGGACGCGCCCGTCCTGGCGCCAGTCGGCATGCAGGAGCAGCAGAAGGCAGTTATCGACCTGCTGGACGTCGCCATGAGGTTAGGGCAACCAGGGGTAGCCACTAGCATGGAAAAGCTGCCGAGTGGCTATCGCGCGAATTCGATCGACTCGCTCGGCGGCCCAGGGGATTTTGAGTTCCCGGAGGCTGTTTGGGGGCGATTCGCGTTGCAGGCAGCGGACTTTTGCCTGGGCAAGAGCGGGAGCTACATGTCCCCTCTCGTCCTGCCCCTCCCGCGGCCTCGTGGAGCCAGGCGGCGCTGGGCGGCGGCGGCCACGGCTCGCCGCCGAGGCGCCTGCGGTAGGGGGACTGGCGCTAGCGCGCCGCTGCTGGCCGCTGGCGCCGCGGCGCGGCTGGGCGAGAGGAGCTGCCGGCGGGCCAAGTGGCCGGGCGGGCACGGGAGGCCGGAGGGGCCGCGGGCTGCTTGGTCTGGCCGGTGCTCGCGACGCACCGCGCCATCGTCGCATTCTCCGCGGCGGCCTCCTGAATCGCCATTTATAGGCTCTGGCCAGTCAACGTTGAGCGGTGTTTTGGCTCCGGAGCTGGGGGGTTGCGCCAGCTCCCGATCAAAGTTCCCGGGCGCGCGGACATGCGTGTTCGCAGCTTGGATGGGGGGGGAACTGATGATGGGGGGTATCGGGCCCACATCGGATGCCCCCACCCCCCTCGGGGGTCTCGTGGCCCCGTGGAGGTCCTCGGGGATGTAGCAAAAGAAGGCGCTTCGTTCCTGATGGCAGATCTTGCGATGCATCCAGAAGCCCCCATCCCTCCTCCTCCTCCTCCTCCTCCTGCTCCTCCTCCTCCTCCTCCTCCCTCCTTTCCCATCCTTCCTTCCCCCTCCATCCCTCTTCCCTCCTCCCTGCGCCCTCCTCGTTCCTCTGTTCTCCGTCTTCTCCCCTGCCCCCTTTCCTCGCTTGCATGTGTATGCGCGTGGTTGTGTTTGCGTGTGCGTATGAAACATGGTTGCGTTCGATTTGCAATCCTGTTGCACATCTTGCTGGGTTCGACCTCGAGAGATGTCTGAATTTCAAGCATTTCAGATGTCGCCGAGTCACTGACTGCCGTTCCAGGAAGACCTGTCAAATGACAGCTCGAACCGACGGGCTTGATCGACCACTGACAAAAGTGATGTATTTCGCCCACCACAAATCTGAAGGGTGAAACACCAGAAACCGACCTCCAGGAACCGAAGTCAATTTCTGCTTGGATCTCCGCGACGGCGCACGTGGAGGGCAAAACACCCGTGGTGGCCTGACCTCCCGATGGGGCCTGCAAACAGTGGGAAAACCTGGATCCGCTCCCCGGGGGCAGATATGGATTGAGGAGAGACAGGAAGACGATGGAGAGGGCGGAGGGAGAGGCGAAAAGATAACGAAAGAGAGGGAAAGGAAGAAGCAGGGGCGGAATCCCATCACAACTTTGGGGTAGGGCCCCCGCAGGTGCAGAAATATGTTCGAAGAGGACCGCCACCACCAAGACGAGCAGCTCGTACACCCTACAGTGCACCAGAAGCGACACAGTTCAATATCAGGGACGCTGAGGCAAGAGAGGTGCATGCACAGGCCAGGCCTTGACCCAACAACGCACGGCGAAGTGTAACAGCACGTCGAAATCGCTTGCTGGCCGAGCAAGCATATCATGTTTTACATCTTGGCCATGGTCACTGCAGGTCTACTTCCAGCGCGACACTCGGAACCTGCGATGGAGGTCGGCCGAGAACCGCGGCGTTGTTGCAGCAGCGGCCTAGGATGCCAAAGGAGATGGCGTCGACGAGCGCCTGACTGGAGCAGCAGGAACACCATGGCGCAGATGGCCTTCAACCTCGTGTTTTGCAGCCAGAGCAGCAGCAGTAACCCCAGCTGAAGCGCACGAGGAAGGTGAGGAAGTCGGCGGCGTTGCTGATAACGACGAGGTACCA